TAGATTGCTGTTGCTGTTGTTTGCCCGGAACACAGTTAAGATGTTACTGAAATGTTGTTTTTCCCTTTGCGCTAGAGTTGAAAATAATGTGAGTATCTCCATGAGGAGAAACTTATCTTTCCCCTCTCGTTTGCCATCATGCAGTGCCCTGACCTGTCTAAACTTTATTGATCGCTAAAATGTTATGGGAACTGAGTGCCATTGTAAAACCTCACCAAGAGTAACTCAGCATTTGGTAACGTGAACAGAGTTGCTGAATTTCCACCACCCTCAGCCACGTCCTCGGCGTACACAAAAATAGAGCCCGAAGTCTTAAGTGCATTTGATTTGCACAGTAAGACTTCGGGCTCGAGGCTTGGCACTTGTGGACATTTTTTTTTTTAATTCTGTATTATGGTTTCTATGACAGCAGGAGCTCAAAATCATTTCCTTTCACCAGGCGTTATCTTCTGCTTCTTTTGTGAGTGGCACACTATATCACCTGGAGCTGCAGCGCTACGGTATTCCCACATATAGATCATAACTGAGATGCTCAAGTACGAGCACAATCAATTTTTACTCATTTTTCATCCGTATGGGACAAATAAGGGAACAATCACTGCAAGGTCCTCAGCCCTGAATGAAAGGAAATGTCATCAGGTGATCATCCTTAAACAGATCAGCTGTTGTGATAATGAAACACAGAGAATGGGAGTTATCTTATTTGAGGTCCTGCTGATTAGTTTTCCCAAAAGATCACACACAGACAGACATAAAGAAACTGTAGGAGGGAGACAGGTCACCATGCTGCTAGAAGAGGAGCACTCAGGAGCAGAGTCAGGGTTTCATCTCAAGGATTGAGAGCTGCCCCCTACTAAAAAAATAATTGTAAACCCTAAAATCCTAAACAGACTAATAGCCTAGACACTGATGGGACTTCAGCTATCAGCTAGTTTAGCTGTTGGTTGTGACTTAAAGCTCTGTGTGTAGCTTTCTTTGCATTTCAGTGTTTCACATTTTCAGTTACTTCCTTTTAAGTTCATACAGATTTAAACTGGGAAGATTTAGTTCACATGTTGCTTTGTTGTGTTACTAACTCACTGAAATTAATATTTAGAATAATATATTTAGAGGTAACCAAATAGTAATTTGGCATAATGTGGAATAAGTGAGGAATTTTCTGTCAATCAGTGGAGTCTCTGAGTATACAACCAAATTTTACCTTGATCCTATTTATTGACACCATAAGAGACTTGAGTGCGACTTGCTGCTGCACTCAGAGAGTTAAGACTTGGACTTGCAAAAAGTGACTTGTGTTCAACTCTGGCTCCACTATAACCTTTATGTAGCCTCACAGAGAGTATGTTTCAGAAAAGATTTGTAACTAAAAGTAACAGCTGTCCAAAATAAACCTCCTTCATAAAGTTTGCTCCACTTTTCCATCTGGTTTGACTAAACTGATTCTACCACGGAAATAGCTACTCCCAATAAATGCAGCAAAGAGCATCAGAAGCCTTAAAATGACGGTTAATACAAACTGAGCAGGAAAGATGAGAGGTCACAGAGCTGAAACTGAAGGTTTAACTTGTGTTGCTCCAGATGATCTGTATGTTCAGAAGTGAAATCTGAACCCCGTCAAAGACAACAGGTGAAGTTCTTACTCTGCAGACAAACAAATCCTCACAGCTCCGCTTTGCATAGCAGCTGCAAACGTGAGCGCCATCATGTCCGTCATGTGTTAACAGCTGCAGCTGAGACTTTCTGCAAACAAATACCTCCTCACAGTGAGGTCTAAAGAAGGGAATTTCTGAATCCATCTTCTCATTAACTCTTTTTTTCATGCACTTTCTTCTGGCGTGAGGCTCCAGGAGACTTCTTATCATCCATCTCAGTATCCCCACTTTTCTTCTTTTCCTGCACAGCTGTGGAGGAAACTCATACCTACCTCACTGCAGGATAAACAGCAGTTCAGGGCTCAGGAGGGAGAAGAAAAATGTCTGCCCTTTAAATCCTGCCTCTCTCTGTCTCCTGGGTTTCTAGAGCTGGGGAGGGTGTGTGTGTGTCAGTGGCAGGGGCCTGTGGGGGTATTTATATACCTCTTCTATGAGTCACGGCAAGGGAATCACATTAGCTATGGCTGTACTGTCACCATCGGACTCCTCTCTCTCCCCACTGCTCCCCTATCTCGCTTGCCCAGTCCCTGCATTTAAAAACCAGCCAGGCCCCCTTTTTTAATCCGTGGAAGTCCTGGGAGAAGTCATGAAATATTTTCAGCTCCAGATGTCTCTAAATAAGCATTATGGCGTGGCGGCCGGTTAATGGCGTGTCATATCCTGCCAAGGCTAGGCAGCCTGTGTAAGCACTTCAGGGAGCTGTGGGTGTGGGTGGAGGGGCTGTTTGGGGACCCGCTGCTGATAGCTATGGAGGAGTATTAGCCCGGCAGCACTGAGAAATAGTTGGAGTGAAGCTGCAGGCTCTACTGCACAGCTGGGTACTCATGGAGCGCAGCGTACGGCTGCTGGCAGACTGGAAAAGTTTTGGGGAGAGTGATGTCTGGATTTAAAGGGACATGCCAAAGTTTAGGAATGTTCTCTTGTTCGACTGGTGACTGGTGCTTTCTTTTCTCTTCTGCTCCAGAAAGTGGAGTTACCTGCGTTAATGCAATGAGAAACTGCTGTCTTTGTGTCCTGTCATCTTCATGGGGCATTTTTGTTTTTGTAGTCATAAAAAGTTGTAAAATACATCACCAATGATGCAATGCATGATGCTCACATCCTTTTGGAAACTTTACCAGACACCAACTTGTCTGATTTTGCAGAAAAGTTTTGTCAAACTTGTGGAAAGTCTCTGGTAGGGAAAATCTGACCACAGACCGTATTACTCATGATGTATTGCCACTGGTTGCACACTAAGACATGCATTTTTCCCTTTTTTTTCCACTTTAAATTAAAACACATTAAAGTAATAATCAGGTCACTTTACTCCATAACCATCGGTCAAAAAACAAACAAACAAACAAACAAACATATACATATATATATATATATATATATATATATATATATATATATATATATACATTATACTCTTATTACGGATTATGCAAAAAATATATGAATTTATTTTTTTTTCTTACAATCAAAAGCTGCTTTTTGACCAAAAGCAGATCTTATAGTTCCATGGAATTATCTTTCTTTGCGGCCCGTTGTTGTGTGTTCCCACTGGGGATCTTAAGTCGTGGGTAGATAATGAAAATGAGGCCAAGGACATCCAGGGATGGTGTTTGAAAATAAAGTCCCTCGCTCAACTCTATAATGGAGTCTGCTGAATTTTTTTTAAACAAAAAAACAGTCTCAAATCATGTTGGCTATATGGATTATGAAATAACATCAGGTTGCACAAATAATTGCTTTTGTACTAACTGTCCTTTGGTACCCCTTTTTGGGCTGAGAATTCTCAAGGAATAGATCTTTTACCCCAGAACTAAATTTAGACCCTAGCTGCTGCAGTCAAAAAGCAGAGTTCCTCGAAGAGCCCCTAGTTCTTTAGGAACGTTCTGTAAAATGCAAAGTGAAGGTAAATCGGGGGTGTCAAACCACATTTTGCTGGTCAAGTGGTGCAGAATCTGGATGTAAGGCGTGTAGTTAGAGGAGAGGAAAGGAGGGGGAAATACTTATGTCTCCAAGCCCCCTGACTGGGTTTATTTTAATAATCCAGTGTTAAAGAAAGTGTGTGCAGAATGTTTCTCTGAGAAAGAGCACCGATATTCAATCTGTAACACGTTTGTGAGATGTTTTGAGGGACTTTGAAGGAAAGACTGCCAACTATTAAAATCCATCAAATATCATAGCTCATTTAAAAAATCAGACAAGAGAAACATTTAGGAATCTTTATGATATTGTCCCCCTGCATCGGCTAAGTTTTGAACAAAAAAAACGTGCATAGATATGAGGTAAAATTTTCATGAGTGATTTGTCTATAGAATGCCCCTGTTCATGTGTAAAAGCCAAGTACAGCAACAATGAACATCTCACTGTCTCGCCAATAATATGAGGAAAGTACTTAGCCGCTGACTTAAGACTGTAGACCAGATGTTTGTTGGTCTAAGGTGCAGGCACTTTCTGCTTCCTCATAATAGCAAGTCCCACCTTTGCACCTTAACTACACCTCTGCCTACATGAGCACTGGAGGTTAAAATGATGAGTGCTTTGATGAGCACTTTGTGCTGGGCTCATGGAGGAGCCCAAGAACTATTAAGGTCCACGTGTTTGTAAATGTATTTAAAGGGGTGCAAGTATGAGACATTTATTGGATATTTCACAAAAGACACAGTGGGAGGACACAGGACAACAGCATTCTTATATAGTGGTGCAGAAAAAGCACAAAATGGTGTATAACAACTGATCAAAAGGCAGCACAAGAAAAATGCGCAAGTGCCCCATCATCACTGCATGTATCCCATCAGTCAGTGGGAAACTCTGCACCACCGGCGAGTGTTAAAATGAGAACAATTCCTCTCGCTCTCTTTCTAAAGAGAACATTGTCGTTGCATATTGGGTAACAGCTCCAGCCTTATTTCCTTTGGGAGGCTGTTATGTCTCTTAAAAATTGAGCCTTAAATTGCTCCTTTGTTTAGTTCTGGCACTGTGGTATTATCCCCATCGTGTTTAGCTTCTTACCATTTTAGCCCAGTCTTATAAGGACTTTTCCCAAGTTAGCCTTCACATGAGAAAATCAATATAGTCTCTTTCCACTGAAGCATCTCCTCTGACCCCCCACATAACCCAAGTGCTAATATCACGGCCTGCTTAGCAGAACACACACACACACACACACACACACACACACACACACACACACACACACACACCACACACACACACACACACACACACACACACACACACACACACACACACACTGAGCAGGCAGAGATGAGGGTTTTCTGAGCCGCTGGTCAGCGAGGTGCTGCTGCTGCTGCTGCTTTATTATCTGCTTGGCTTGGTCTACTGGAAGGCAGCCGACACACAGAGCCCAGCACTCCCTCTATCTCCTCTCTGACTCAGCTAAACCCTCTCTAAACACTGAAGTCTGCTGCTGGGACCCTTTCTGCAGACACACATAAAACAGCACCTCACTTTATGGATGAATTTAATGCCTTTGTACAGACAAAAGCAAACTCTAACCTGCAGCATAAAATCTTTTATGAACAGTTTGCAAGACCCACGACCTGTGAAGGTTCAGAGTAAAAACATGACATTATTTTTCTGCTGTGAACTTAAAAGCAAACTCGAGGCCAAGATCCATTAAATGGAAATGCACTGCGGATTCATAAAGCCCATGATGTGTCCTGTAAAGCCAGCTTTCTTAATTTCCTCACCTATTGCTGCTTTATCAGAAATACTCAGAGTATCCTCTTACAACTTTCATTTTTTTCTTTTCAAAGTTTATGTTTGAAATTTGGGCAGAACTTACAAGGCATGTTCACCCTGACTCAAATTGACCTATCGCTGAGCCCCGCCCCCCTCTTAGTTACTGTTGCTAACTCGGACAAACAACAGGAGCTGAGCAGTTTCATAGCAACTTTAAAGCAGCTTTATAATGGCCGCTGCTGGTGTCAAAGCGCTACTCCAAGAGGGTCTCAACAAATCCTGGGCACAGAAGACCTGATTCCTTCGGAGGGATGTGTCCAGAATTCAAAATTAGATGCGGTTGGTGAGAACACAGCTGAATTGGAGGCAAGGGTATACCGCAGGGTAAGATTAAATTAATTTACCTTTAATTATTTAAACTACTCTGGAGAGGCACTGAGTGTTACAGTCACTCATCTTGTGTGCTAACCTGGGCTAACATTAGTGTTAGCTCGTTTACGAGAGGCAAAAGCTCCGTTGCTACATCGCTAATAACGCTTAAATAACTGTAGGTAAAGTTAGTAGATTTAAATCTATGTGGCGTAACTTGACTTAAAACAAACACAGACATCCTTGTTGATCTTCTGCATGATAAATTGGCTGTGTGGTCTGCCACACAACTTAATCCATAGCAGACATTGCACGAATAAAGTTGTCTGAACCGAATGAATGTGAAGATGCTGAGACAACTTTATTCGTGCAGTGTTTACAAGTTGTTAATAACATAACTGATTTAAAAACAAGAAACTCTCTTCTCGTTTCTTCATTTTTACTGTGTTGTGTCCTATACCTGTGATCAACCACCGCTACACACACTGTAGCTTTCTGCCCCTGTCTGCTTCCATCGATACTGAACATGTACAACTGTCAACAACGACATGAATGAAATAAGATGAAATAAATGAAAAAGTAAATGAGACCTAAAAATGCACAACAGAAAATTTTGATTTTGGCTGGAAATATCTGATGGCTAAGAACTGGGTGGGAAGCCCTTAAAGTCGGTCATTGTTCCCAAAACTCTATCAGCAACTATCGATAGCCAATGGGCTGTGAGATCAGAGTCATGATCAATGATAGCACTGACAAATAAAAATCTAAGCTCTTATTAACCTTTAAAACTGTACTACCATCTGTAGTTAACAGCATTAAGACTGTCTTTGACTCCAGGAGGCTTAAACTAAACCTCAATTTGAGGCTTCAGTCTGAGAGGAGCATCACTTTCCATCCTCCCTGCTGAACAAACATGATGAGCTGTGCAGAGGAAGACGTGGACTCAGAGAGATTATCTCTGGGGATAATCTCACTTTTTAATTGGATAATTTAATAACTGTCAGAAGAAGATTTGGAGATGCACTTGTTTTGATTGTCTTTAGCTGGTTAGCTACGGGTGTCATTAAATCTTAAATTCAGACCTGAGGCAGTGGACACGCAACCGCACTTCACACCACACCTCCTTTCCTCTGCAGCTGAATATATGACTCATCTGCTGGTGACACAATAGGAACAACATTTGCACTCTAATTTAGTGAAAACTAGACTGTATACGCCAGACTTGAAGTGTGTTTATTTTAAATATTTCTAAAGTATCAGACAAGGTCAATAGCATAGCTAATATCAGGGTCCAACCAAGTCCAACCGTAACATTGTAGTGATCCCTAGTGTCCTGCTTCACCAAAAGTCATTCCCCCAAAGGCCTGACTACATTGAACCATTTAATAAACACTTCCAGGTCACAGACACACCTGTTCAACAGCTCATACATTCACAGTACAGCAGGAAAGTACAGCTCTTCTCTACACTGCTACTCAGTAAAGATCTGTTGTTATGTACACTTCATTTCCATGTACAAACAGTATGTTCATAATGTCTATAATTGAACAGATTCTTCTAGCGTCCATTGCAAGGAAGTGCCTTTCTCTATGATTGGATAGAAACCAAAGGTACTACCTGTTTACTTTGTATATGTTTGTGCATGGCGTATATAACACACTCTTGTTTCTTTTTTTCTTTTTAATCAAATTCACTTACATTCAGATACTTTTTCTTCAATTATGAGTAGAGCATGCAGTTTAACAGATTGAGTTTAGACTAGCTTTACACTGGCTATGTGCTAAAGGCTGATGTCTGTACTCTTACATTGCCACTTTTGCTTTAGTGCCCACCTAACCACACACAGTGACATTGGCTCTTTTTGTGTGTGGGTGTGTGTGTCCCTCCACATGACTAAAACTTGAATTTATTAACCAACCCCCTCCACCCCCACCGACACATCTCTGCTCACCACACACACACACACACACACACACACACACACACACACACACAGGTACACACCGTGCCTCCTCCACCACGTTGTATCCACCCTGTGGAACTCCATAATCAGACATAAAATCATAAATATTCACCACTGATTAAAAGATTAGAAAATTAATCTCTCCAGTATGCTAACTGCTAATCCTAAACCCTGAGGAGTAAACAAACTCGTGTTGAGCACAGATCAATAAACTCCCCAGAGACAAACCAGACAGAGAGGAGAGAAAACACAACAAATACACAACTTTGAGAGCTCATCTTCATAATGTGAGGGTGTTTTTCCTCTGATTTAGATTTTTCTAACAGAGCATTTACAGAAAAACTCAGAGTTTAAATCAGTGAAGTCAGAATATACGAAAAGGGAATTATGTCACTGATTCACTGTAAAGATTTGTAATCATGACAATGTGAACAAAAGCATTTTTCTCATGAACTGATAACCCAAGAGTTTTATGTTCATGCAGTAGCACAGCGAGAGATAAACACAGCAGATATGAGAGGAGACACGTGGAAGTGAAGTCAGATCTTTACGTTAAATCAGAGGTTTGTTGTGTTTTGTGTCATTTTCTGTCAGTGTGGTTAAGTTTGGTCAATCTGGAGAAGTCTAAATATGAGCTAACAAGAGGTGGTCAAGAGGAGGGTACTAACTAGGAAGTTAACTCTGCTGTTGTATGTCAATGAGGACACAACCAGCAACATCAGATTGTTTGCAGTTTCTTTGCGCTCTGTGTCAGCACCTTATTTTATCTGAGTTTTGAGACACATAAGAGAGCATGTTCAGTTATACACTCAGTAGCCAGGATAAACTCTATATCACTGAAGATGAAGATGTGGTTGAGAGTGCAGTGAACTGCACGTCTGTCAGGGCAGCAGGGGCTGAACCTGGACGCCATCCCACCATCGACCCCGCACAAAAAAAAAGAAGAAATCGAAAAAAACAAATATACATACACTGAAATGTTCCAACTTTAAACTACTCAGGGCAAAAATACTGAAATGTGACAAATAACTAAAAGGTGAGGTGAGGAAGGCGGAACCTCCCATCGTTGACGAAGGGTTTAAAATTGTTTATGAGATTTATGGAGAAGATTTCTTTTTCCCTCAAAGTTGAGAGAGAATTTTTTTTATAAAATCTGAAACAAATGGACAGAATATGTAAAAACCAATCAGATCTAAATATATATATTTTTTTATATTATTTTTCTAATTTTTATTTCATTTCATTTTCTACCGCTTATTCCTGTTCCCGGGGGGGCTGGAGCCTATTCAAGCATCTTCAGGTGAAGGCAGGGGACATCCTGGACAAGTCGCCAGTTCACCGCAGGGCTGACATATAGAGATGAACAACCATCCACGCTCACATTCACACCTATGGGCAATTTGGAAGTGGCCAATTGACCTAACCCCACTTAGGCATGTTTTTGGGATGTGGGAGGAAACAAGAGTACCTGGAGTAAACCCACCCAGACACAGGGAGAACATGCAAACTCCACACAGAAATGCCCTAACCCGGATTTGAACCCAGGACCTTCTTGCTGTGAGGTGGCAGTGCTAACCACTACACCACTGTGCCGCCCTATTTTTATTTTTATTTATTAACTTTATTCTCTTTTTGTGTGTGAGGTATTGATTGCACGTAAGAATGTGCTCCCCAGCTCTTTTGTGTTTGTGTTATTGCTTTCACCTGGAATAGTTTAGTTCCGTGGGACAAAGTTACAGAAGGACAATACGGACAACATCACTGTGTCCTTGATAAACTGAGTTAATGTAAGGGTGAAATGATATGTGTGATAGAGATGTGCCTTTCTAAATAAAAAAGAGAATCTAAATAAAATAAAATAAAATAAAATAAAAGGTATTTTAGCCCAAAACACTAAGACAACATCTAAAATAGCAACCAAAATCAACACTGTCACTGAAAATAAAGCTTTTTCTCACAACCAGAGCTGTCACCTCCCAAATTTGAGAAGGGTGATGGGACAATATTTAGAATAAAACACCTACACAATCAGTCAAATTGAGGGAAGATGGAGGTTGAGCAACGTATGACCTCATCAACTTTACTGATGACCACAAGTGACTGACAAGTCATCATCCATTTCACGGCTTATCACCAGTCCTGCAACTGAAACTTCTAATTTGAGGCTGCATTATTTTAGATAGATAGATAGATAGATAGATGTACTTTATTAATCCCGAAGGAAATTCAAGAGTGGTCAACTGCTCACAAGAATCAGTCACACACACATATGATATGATAAAAACAGATTATGAATAAATATCTAAAAATAAATAAAGAAATAAAGAAAAACTAATGGCAGGAGGGAGAACCAACTTGGGGACAAAGGCAGGGACAGGTAAAACAACACACCACAACAGAAACAGCGACAATGAGGACAGAAGTGTTCCAGCACTTCTGCCTTTGAGATATTCCCCCCACACCCGCTTGACTCCAGCTACTCCTACTCCTCCTCCCGTCTCTTCCTCCCGCTCAGGGAGTTGTGCAGCCTGATGGCGCGGGGGACAAACGACTTTGTGTATTGGAAAAACAAACTTTTGTTTTTAAGTTTGAGCTAGATTGTGAATTACAGAGCTGAATGGTAACAGTTAAAAGACTGGTTAAAGAGCATAATCAAATGCATTAGAGGCTCAATGGCTATTCTTAAAGCACCAGTTCTTCATACACAGCCATTCATAAAAAGAGCTGTGCAAAAAAAAAAAAAGACTACATGATCTGAGTATCACAGTTATCCTCAAATGACTCTTTGCCTTTTATAATTCTGATCAATCACTTCACTGAAAATGTAGCCAACAGACATATCAGTGAATTTTTAATGCCATCAACATGTCAGCAGGAAGTCTTGCTGTCACTTAAGCCCTGCCCCTTCACTGTAGCTGTCAGTCATATTTACATACACTGTCACTGCGAGTTTACTGCTCCTGAAGAATCAAGGGTTACTACAGCAGCAGGAGGAAGAAGAGGAGGAGGAGGGGGAGAAGGGGGATGAAGAAAAGGAAGAGGAGGATGAAAAGAAGGAGAGGAGGTAGAAGAGGATGATGAGGAAAAGGAAGAGGAGGAGGAAGTAGCAGTCACATGTTTATCTAAATGCAGCAGGTCATGACATCTCCTGCCATCACCACGACACTGCTCCCTGTGTTTCTGTTGTGTTACATGTGAACTTAAGTGACTCAGCCCAGTGTGTGTGTGTGTGTGTGTGTGTGTGTGTGTGTGTGTGTGTGTGTGTGTGTGTGTGTGTGTCAGATTATTCTCTGAGTTGAGTCATAGGTCATTAAGATGCTTGGCTGGCTTTTATGCTGACGGCCTCATAAATGGATGAGAAACGCTTGTCCTTCACTGTTGCTGCTCTCCATCTTGTAACGCACGACTTGACATGGCACTCGCTCTCTCTCTCTGTCTCTCTCTCTCTGTTAATCACACACAAACACACAAATAGATAAACAGAGAAGAAAATCCACCAATCAACGCGCTACCCTCCTTGTGACAACTGCCAAAACTACTTAAAATACACCACAGAGAAACACACAAAGAGGGGAAATTCAGACCAGTTGGGTACCTGAAGCTCAGAGTCTGTTACTATGGTAACTGAATCAGTCATGCACAGTTAAGTCAAGCTATGGTAATAGATTGATCAAGCGATTTAACTGGACTACTGTCTTTGTCTCAGATGTTAAGCACTGAGCAAGAATTGAATTATTGACAGAAACATGTCAACCTCTGCTACAGAAGGTGGACATGTTTAGCTTGTCACTATCAGACCATCTCCTACTTGACCTATAATCTATCAAAACAATTGACAAACTCATAGACTGTATATAGAATGGACAGCCTCCTCGCTGGGTGAAGCCACCATGAGAACAGCACCTTCTGGTGACGGGCTGCAGTATAGGTCATAAATCCCGCCTCCTCCAGCAATCCTTATGGAGCTGTGGGCAAACTTTAGAAATTTATGACACAGAATATAAAATCTTCTCCCCCGGGTCGTGATGTTGACATGTAGTTACTGTAAGACTGGTTTGTGCTCAAGTCCTCTTTTTCTGTACAGCTCCTTTTATAAAAGTTATTAGGGGGTTCATGTTTTCTATGATTGACACTTGATACAGCCTATGGGCGTATGAAGATTGCGTAGCTCACGCTCTTTGAGACGAGCGCCATCTCAGCAACTCTCGGCAACTCTCCCACCGGATGCGCACAATACCACTGCACAAGTGGTGGAGTGCGTACAACGCTACTGCACAAAGTCGGTCTCAGGAAATGGAGAAAATGCAGAATTACTGTGAGCTTTTCGGCTTCAAATCCGTATACAGGCAGAAAGTAGAACCGACTTGTCCATACAGTCTACGGACAAACCCTGTTTGAGGGAGGCTCACAGGATGCACGTTGAAAGATGAAAACCTAGTCACTTTCTCCATTGGTCTGAAGGTCCTTACACACCAGCGAATTTGCGGAGTGAAGCGAAAAAGCGAGACGAAAATGCGAAAATATTTGCCGGTCCGAAAAATCGCTTTCACTTATACACACCAGGCAACCACTCTGTGGTACACACTCTCTCCCATCGTTGCTCTTGGTGCCAGTGGTGGTGTGTGTCGTGTGAACTGCAGAACTGCATGGGTCTGTGACGTCATCAACAACATGACTTTTGATTGGCCAGAGGTCTAGCAGGTCCAGATATTCTCCGAAAAATTCAACACAAGAGCGTAAAAATAAAAGACACTGTTCGCCCCGCGGAAAAATCGCCGCCGGTGTGGAAGCTTGCATTGACTTTATGCTGTTTGAAAAAAAGACGAATAAAGGCGAATAATTCACCTGGCAAATTCGTGCCTGGTGTGTAAGGACCTTAAGTTTTGTTTACTATCCAGCTTCCTACTAATGCATTCGTGCTATTCAACTTCTGCTTTAAAGCCTGGCATGCTGGAACATGCACAGAACACTTGGGCCAGTTTCAGTCCAATAGAGCCGTACACATGATAGATAAAGCCATTACCCAGGTCTATATTAATTTTACGAGAACTGCAGTTTCTAGCAGTAAATGACTGTAAACTATCAAAACTGAACACAGTTCCTTTCTTTTGTTGGTGTTCAGAGAACTTTAGAGACTGTTGTTGCTGTTTGGGATGTTGGTTTGGTCAAACTTTCAAGCTGAACAAAGACAGCCTCATGTTTCAGAGCATCATGTCAGTCAAACCTGGCTCCAGTCGTTCTCCTCAGTCAGACCTGACAACACGAACATGTTCAGATGTGAAAATAATCCATTAGACCGCCCCACGTTTTTCACCGCTCTGTAAGGTGAACGTGATGACTGAAGGTTGAATTCAGACAGAGACCAAAGGAGAGAAAGATCATAAAAAACAAACAGATAAAGGGGAGAGAGGAGCTGAGAGACTGATGAATAGATGGTGTGCAGTCGACGGCAGGAGAAAAACTGACAGAGAGAGACCTCCAGTAGAAACAGGACAAAATGACAGGAGAAGAAAGAGACACGAGTCAGGGAGAGAGCGATGAAAAGGAGTGCAGACAGAGGAGAAAGAGACGCTCCACTGCCTTCCTCTTTTGTGGCCGGCCTGATGGCCCTCAGGCCGACGGGATGATGGGCACATGAATCAGAGGCTGTCCGCCTGAAAAATGGCACACAGACAAAAAAACACTGCCTGTCGATTGTCACGAGAGAAAGAGGAAGAGGAGAAAGAGGGAGGCGGACAAAGAAAAACAGAGAGGAAAACAAGAGGAGCAGAGATATTCGGACGACCCAGATGACAAAACACAACAGATCCAACTGCAGCATCAGAGGGAGGAGGAGGAAAGAAAAAAGAGACAAGAGGAGGACAGAGGAAGAATTAAAAAGAGGACTGTTAATGTTTCTTTGAATGTTTGTTTCTTCTTCTTCTTCTTATCCATGTCCTGATAGAAAGGGGTCAGATGTTAGGGAACAGAAACATGTTTATTTAAAAAGTTTTAACTGGAAGTGGGAGAAAGATTTCTGAGAGGCTAAACTATTTTCATTATGAATAAATGAATTTTACCGGGAAACATGATTGAAACTATCATTTTTTACAGAGTGTCCTGACTGAGATTAGCTGCTGCATGTTTCAACAAAGTCAAAGACAGTCAAGTTCCCTTAGACCCAAATCCCTCAAGACCTGAAACATTTTTGTCCATTTCTAGGTGCACTCTGAGGACACACAGTCAAAATAAGTCATGGGACTGAGTTACAGAGTGAAAAGTTTAGTGCTATTTTCTTTTTAATAATGACAATGATAAAACTAAATATTAAACAGGGAAGCAAGTTTATAATAACCTTATATAAGACCACAACATAGCCCAGAAATTAATAGGTTCTGCTCTGCTAAAACTTCACTCAGCATACTCCCATGTCCTGACAGAACACACATTAACTAAACATATACATAATAAGTCATTCTGCATTTATAATCTGAAGAACAGCAGGTGTATTATAGTTCCTGTTGGAGACAACGATATCCAATTAAATGTGTCCACAGGGGGTTAGTTTAGGTCCACAAAAGTGAGAACAGGCTCTTTTTTGAAAACTTGTTGCAGGTCTGGCTGGCTGCAGAAAATCCTCATTCACACCCAGCTGATATGGGGAGCTCATCAAGAGCCTTAACCTTTGCAAGATGTATACTCAGCCCCTTTGTAAGAGAGGGCAGAGAAATTCACTTGTTGCTTATTGAGTATTTGACAGGAAACAAAACCATTAAGGGGAGTGTTGTGTTGTTGCTGAATAAGCAATTGCTGACTCTGAATGAAGAGTTTGGGAGGTGCTGCCAAAGCTGATGGATGTCAGACTCAGGCTACTCATCAAACACCGTTCAGTCTCTCAGATAAATGCTGTGCTGTCTTGGATATTTACACAGGTAAACTGTGAATTGTAGCTTGCATTTCATAAGCTTATCCCATACATTTTGACCTTTTATATGTTTATTAAGAGAACTAATACTTTCTAGAGTCTTTCACAATACTAGCCTGGAATGCAAGCTTATATTTAAATCATGTACATATATGGCGTAAACAGAGCAGTTATTATGTGAATATATGATGTCCAGCTCAACAGACCTAAAGCTGAGATCACTTCTCAGGATATGTAGCTCTGTTTTTCCAAAAGTAGAAGACTGTTGCAGTCAAGAGCTAAAATCAGAGCTTTAATCTTTTATTTTCTCCACTTTCTTGCACTCAGCCTCAAGGATTTGTATCTTATCTAAACAGAAATGTGACTCCAAACACTGATGAGGAGTGAGGGGCTGGAAAAGAAAGAGTTATGACTGAGGCAGGGCAGAAGACAAGGTGAAGAAGACCAGAGGGAGAAGGTGATGGAGAATGGAGTGTGAAGAAGAAGGATGGAGAGCAGAAAAGAGAGGCTGTCTTTGTCTGGGCTGCCAGAGTTGATGTCTAAGCTTTGCATTGTAATGACAGGTGATAACAATTAATGGGACGAGAAGATGAACGAGGAGAAAACAAGGAGAGAGCAATGACAAGGTGGGAAAGGAAAGGAGAGGAAGCATTCAGCTATGACTAGTGCACTGAAGAATCATCTTATTTGTTGTTCTAGATGTGTTATTTGCACAACGAGAGTGCACATTTAACCTCCTGAGGTTGCTGCTCTGTGTGCTCCAGAATTTAAAAACACATTTCAACTGGTAATTTTATTTTATTTTCCTTTAAAGGGATGTTCCGGGGTAAAATAAAGTTACGGTCCATCACAACGGTTAAGATTATCCAAAGTTTATTGGATGTTATAGAGAAGGTCAGTGTTATAGCTCTCTGACCAGAGAGAAAAGGTCAGTGGTTTGATTTCTTAATCACCTTTGTTCCAGTTTATACACTGAGAGCTTTTTCTCTTGTGTAAGTCTGTTATCTTTCATATTTCTTCATAAACGTTTGTGTAACTCCACTCTCAAGCTCACATGGTTTGATGAAAACCACATATTTGTTAAGTAAATGCTTGTGCAGGATGATTATGAAACGCCAGCTCATGTGAGTCTGAAATCAGCAGAGGAAGAATGGAGTGAATTGTTAAACTCGGTGGGAATGTTAAAAAAAAAAAGAGAGAGATTATGCAGAGCTGAACTTTAAGAAAACCACAGTTAGTGGAAATACCTGCTCTGCTCTGCCTCCTCTGCACATCCTGCGTATGTTGGTCCTCTTCACTCTGAAACTTTAAAATAATACAACCTGACATCTCCGAGACAGCTTCTGGAGACCAGTGATGAGCTGTCTATTTATAAGGTGATATGGGCGCAGCTACCAGCCACTCTACAATAAATTAAACTCCACTGTAGGTCTACTAAATCTAGACCAGTAAAAGGCAGTAGTGGTGCCAGCCATAAGACATAGATGGATGTCTAATCGGCTAACCTCAATGCTGATCTCACCGTGATCTGCTGGAGTGTCCACTGTGGTGGGGACAGTGCTGTTCAGCTTCAGTTTCATCTATTTTAAGATGTCAATGATCCATAGTTAGAGCATCTATACAGTTTTTTATTTCAACAAAGTAACCTAAAATCCATATTGATGCCTTTACATCACATCCAGCAAACAAGGCGATCAGGGACAAGATAAAAAATTAGAATATCATTTTTAATGGCTGATGCCCAGTGTTAGATGGTCAGTCCAGCAGCTGAAGAATCACCCCTGTCTTTTTTTTCTCCACAATTTTAGCATGACATATCCAGAATAATTGATATATTTGACTGTCAAAGGTCAGCAGGGAAAGGGTTTTATTTTTGTCAAAAATCATAACTTCAGCATGTATAGGACAAGCTAAACAAAGACTCCCTGGTCTACAGAGGGTGCCAAAACTGACTCAAACCAAAAGTTCCTCACAGGAGCTTTAACTCTGACGCATTTTGCAAATGATGTGCTGGACAGGTCACACACCTGTCGTGTCCATGGATGTATTACACGTGACCTGACTCACTGTTGTCATTTAAACCCCTCAATACTTGTTATAAATATTATAGATAAATCATTTTTACTTCCTGTTTAATTGTGGGGGTAGGATTTCAAATCAGGGTGCGGCACATGCTTTAGCACATTTGCAGAACCACTTATCTTAAATTTCCTGCTCTCCAGATAAATTGAGGATTTTATTAAAGTATCTTCCATGTTGTTAACTGTTATTGTTAACTGTGATGTCGACACTTTTGCCATTTTGACCAATAAGAATCATGCTTTTAAAACTCCTGTGAGAAACTATAACTCGTTATGAAACAGAAAGTTAGCCTTTGCAATGCAATGACATTCTTTGATCCAGAAACAAGGTAAGAGTAACTTTCTGATTACTCCATTTATTCAGATTTTTGACTTTTGTGTCACTTTTACAGCCTTTGAGGTAAAAAAAACAAAACAAAACAACACCACATGGTAACTCAAGACTGAAAAATGGGCCAAAGATGCTTTGATTATGATTTATTCCACTCAGGCAGTAAAGTGGTTATCCTGTTTCTGGTTTTGTAACTAAAAGGAAAATAATCTTCATTTTGTTTCTGGATCACAACTGAATTATAAATTATCAAACAATGCCCTGGCTCCAAATCACACATTCTTCCTCTTTTTTATTCAAAGCTTATTAGTTTGAAAAATGGATTCTGATTGTTTTTGATGTAGAAAACGTAAAGGGTGTCAATAAAATAAGAGATCCAGTGTTTTCCCCAACACTGGAGCCTCATATCTGGGTCAAACAGTTGGAAACAAATCAAAATAAAGCTCAAACTTTGTGTGTGTTGGCCCCCATGATTATTCACTGTATGTAATCTGCTCTTCACAATGAGTTTCCATTGCAGCACGGCTGATGGTGATGAGCTCCTCCTGTCAGCGAGCTGTCTGCCTGTCTGTCATCAGATGCCGGGCAAAGTACAAAAAACATCAAACTGTCACCAAAGTCTGCAGAGAAACAATCAGATCCATCACTCTCTCTGCTCCGTGCATCAAACGCCGGCTCTCTGCATCAGCCTCGCTCTCTTTCATCTCTCTCTCTCTCTCTCTCTCTCTCTTTCTGCTGCTCTCTGTGTCTCTCACTCTATCCATGTCACACTAATGTTGCGCTCTGGCCTCGTTCCAGCTCGTCGCCGTGGAACAGCTGGTTTCAATTAGGTCCTCTTTCAGGTCTCTGCATGCACAGGCACACATGCACACACAGTAATACAGTCTAAAAGCGGACGGGCGGCATGCTTTCTTTGGCTCGTCGCTCTGCTGGAGGAGTAATTGAATCATTTGACCAAAATATTGGTGGTGTACTGAAGCGTCCAGCGCTGGCTCTGGTCACCACGCTGTGTCTTTCCATTAGACGTGGCTGGTCAGGCAGCCGCTCGGCATAATGGAACAGTAATGTGCTTTGGTAATGTAATGTGGATATAAAGCTCACAGTTACAGCGAGCTTTGGCGGGGATGGATTAGCAGGGATTGAACCTGAAGATTAAAATATTCCCTGGAGTTATTCCCAGGATGTGTCTGTACAGTCCTGTCTCATGATTGTACAGTAGTGGAGTTTAAACACAGATTTAAAGCGGCACTTTATTAGCTCCTGTTCTGAGATTATAAGCAGTGCATGAAACAGAAAATACATTTAGACAAAAGACCAGTCTCTTTTCAGCACAAACAAAGCAGAAAAGACACCACAGCAAACAAACAAACAACAACAACAAAAAAACTGCTTCTCAGAGCTCTGTTTGCAAGGGATTGTTTACAGTACAACTTGTGCAACAATAAAAGCTGAGTTTGAACACTAAATTGTACAAAAAGAAAGAAAGAAAAAACAAAACTCCTACCCAACTGATTCAGCTAAGTCAGGAAAACAAAACCTGCACAACTTGCAGGGCTTCATGACGACACAGTCATGAATATTCATGCAAATACAACTCAAAGATTCATGCACAATGGGCAGCAGCAGTGTGGTTCAGTGGTTGGTGCTGCCACCACAGAGGAAAGAGTTTGGTTTGAATCCCCCACTGGGCAGAGTTTTACACATGGGAATTAGTCTGCTGAGGAAAAGAGTGACGTGCACATTATAAACTATCAATAAGACAAATCTGTTCAGCACCAAGCAGGAAGCAGCAGACCGGTTAGACTACATGGAACAATTCATCCTAATCTTTAGTTAAGTTTAGCTCTGTGTGTGTGTGTGTGGGTGTGTTGAATTAAAAGATAGAGAGCCCTATTTAAATAATCTGAAACCCACAGTCTGAGGAGTATAGTGCTGAGTAAATCAGAGCGTCACTAGACAGATTTTCTTATTTAAAGAGCCCATAATCTGGGGGCCCCGTGTGAAGGAGTTCAAGTACAGCAGGGTCTTTATCACAGCGAGGGTGCAGTGGACTGTGAGACTGACAAGCAGATTGTTGTGGTGTTAGCAGAGATGCAGGCGAAGCACCAGACCGCCATAGTGGCAAAGCATTCGGTTTACTTGTCCATCTATGTTCCAACCCTCATCAATGGTCAGGAGCTCTGGGTAGTGACCAAAAGAATGAGATCCTGGATACAAGCCCCCAAAATTAGTTTCCTCGTTCCAGGACGCAGCGTTCCAAACCCTGACATTCCAGAACCAAAACCCAGCATTCCGTAATCAAACAAACTCGGACCCAGCATTCCAGAACCCCGTTCTCCGAAAGTTAGCATTTTAGAATTTAGCAGTCTATACCCAGCATTCCAAGACCCAGCATCTCAAAAACCCAACTACCAAAAAACCCATTTGCTGACCTGGACCAGGAGGTCTTAAGTCCAGCATTCCAAGAACCAGCATCCTAAAACCAAACACTCCAGGCACGAGCATTCCAAAACAAAGCATTCTAGGCACCAGCATTGCAAAAACCCAACATTTTAGAACTGAGCATTCTACAACACAGGTTTCTAGAACCTAGCATTCCAAAACCCAGCATTTCAGAAGCCAGTTCTCCAGAATTAGTTTTTCTAGGACCCAGTATTCCAAAATTGGAATTCAGGACCCAGCACACCAGAGCCCAGCATATTGAAAAACAGTATTTTAAAAGGTATTCCAAGATCTGGATGTCCACAACTCTGCATTTTAGAACCCCAGCATTCCAGAACCCAGCACTTCAGGACCTAAGATTCTAGCTGGAAGGAGTCTGGGCTCAGCCTTAGAGATTGGTTCAGAAGCTCAGACTATTCATTTAAGGATGTTCAGGCAACTGACAAGGATTCTCCTGGAAGTCTACTTATGGAGGTTTTCTCAGCAAAAGTGGAAGGAGGCCTCAGTGGAGGCCCAAATTTTTCCAGATGGATTATATCCTCTGGCCTGGGAGCACCATGGGATCCCTGAGGAGGAGATGGAAAATGTGGCTAAAGAGAAGGGCAGTCTAGGTGGACTTGCTGAGTGCTACCCGCAGATGGATAGATGAATGATAGAAGGATGAATGGATGGATGGATGAATGGATAGGCAAATAGGTGCAAAGAAGTTACTTTCTGTTTTGGTGCAACATGAATCTGACTAATTTTGTGTCTGACTTCATTCCATTTTATAGTCAGGTGAATATTAAAACTGTCTTTTAACTCACATGGACTGAGGCAGTGTAGGCACCAAATATGCTCAGGTTCTGTATTTTTCACCAGAAACAGTGCAAAAATAACGCTCATATGGGCTATTATTTACTGATTTCCACTGCTGGATCACATCGCCGTGTTTTGTCAGCTGTTGCTTGCGTCACAGAGTTATCAATTGAGTATTCTATCAATATCTGTGGACACTG